AAATTGCATGAGAACAGTAAATAAAGAGTTTATGACAACAACAAAAATCCCTTTAATCGGGTACTTTTTTGTTTTCTTTCTATTCTTTTCTTTATGTTTTAATGTTTCTTGTTAAGTGAGAATAATAATAGTGATATTTATTATTTTTATGAGCTGAATGGCAAACACATATAATAATATAATTAAAATGGTATAAAATACATAAAAACATACTTAAAATAATTTCCAGATATAGTGTGTGTGTGTGTGGGGGGGGGGGGGTGGTGTTTACAAATTCTACGACAAAACCTGTCTACGCAGATTCATCATCATCATAAACCACTTCTGCCGTTTAACGCCGTGGGGAGGAATAATTTGCTATCCAGTGCACGTTGGCTGCCACTAGCTATTGTCATGCCGTGAAGGCATTGTGTCTTTAATGTTGTCGATCTATATATTCCGCTGCCGTACTCTTGCTCTTGTAGCTGATTTTCTGAGATTCAGTGCTTGTGATGGTATTTGATCTTGCTGCATTCTAATGAGATGGCCAAACCACTTAATCTGCTGTTCCAAAATAATTCCAAATGTAAACATTCCCTTTCGTATAGTTTTAACATTAATAGCAACAAATTGCTTCATAGACTATACAAAAGCATTTGACTGTGTGAAGCATGAAGAAGTAATCAAACTGTTAGAAAAATTAAACATTGATGGGAAAGATCTACGAATAATAAAGAATATGTATTGGCAGCAAACAGCAGCTTTAAGAATTAACAACTGTTTAGGTACATTTCAAAGCATAAAGAGGGGCGTACGACAAGGATGTGTACTGTCACCTGATTTGTTTTTACTATACAGTGAATATATAATGAGATCTTTAACTGATATGTCCGGAAATGTGGTTGGTGGGCACTATATAAGCAATTTACGTTATGCTGATGACACAGTCTTGATAGCAACAAGTCAGAAAGAACTACAGGAAATGATAGACATTGTGGTGTTAGAAAGTGGAAGAATGGGCCTCAGTTTGAATAATGGGAAGACAGGAGTAATGGTGGTATGAAAGAAACGAATTATTCCTAAGTGTGTAATAAAAGTTGATGGTGTTATTTTAGGAAAAGTACAGAAATTTAAGTATCTGGGCACATGGATAACATCAGATGGAAGTTGCATAACTGAGATAAGAAACAGAATAGGCAGGCAAAAACTGCATTTTATAAAATGAAAAACATTTTGTGCAATATATCCTTGTCATTGAGAGTTAGAAAAAGAATTCTTGCTTGCTACATAAATCCAGTTTTAACATATGGATGTGAATCTTGGACAATCGGTAGGCAGGCCAAACAATTTTTAGAGGCTCAGAGATGTGGTTTTACAGAAGAATGCTTAGAATACCTTGGACAGCCAAAAAGAGCAACCAAGAGGTTTTGAAAGAGGCGGGAGCTCGAAGACAACTTATCACAGACATCATTTTTCGGCCATGTTATGAGAAGAGGGAAAATAGAACATGTTGTGACCACTGGAAAGATCTGTGAAAAAAAGGATAGAGGAAGACAACGAGAGAAGATGCTTGACAGTCTTGTTGTATGGTATGGAGGTGTGTCGGCACACGAACTGATACATGCTGCAGGAGATCGCAGATTATGGAGAAGCACGATCGCCCACGCCAGTCGGCAAGGCACCTGGTGATGATGATGATCAACAAATTGCTCAGCTGAGCGTTTATTTCCTAAGCTGGAGTATACTAAATCCAACAAGAACAACCAAGCGCTAAGGCAGGCTAGATACCTTATTTATGTCTATTCAACATAAAAGCAGATGTGTTACAAAAGATTTGTTTTGAGGATCGGGTCAAAGACTGCGATTTTAAAAAAAAAAAAAAAGAAAGGAGAAAACTTTTCAAACATAAATAAAGTGGAAGTATACACAAATACAAACTTTTTTCTCCGTTTTACCGGAAGTTTTATTTCTTTTCTCTTCAATATTCCGAGCCCTTGAGGTTCATTACTGCAGATATCATCCGTCTCCATTTATCTCTCTTGTTGGCCTTATCTTTCCAGTTGGTGTATTTGCAGGTCTGCGTGGATATTATCTCACTATCGTCTTCTTGGTCTGTCTTTTGGTCTGCGGCCATTCAATTTCCTTGTCTATACATCTGATATTATATCAGATGAACCCGCCGTTTCAGTCTATTAACTATTACCCCTCATGATGCCAGTGATCAATGGTGATTTAAAATAGGTTAATAATTTCGTAAGAGACTCACTTTCAAATCCAGCTGCGACTCACTGCAGCGCACGGCCGGTGTTCGAAACCGGGCGGTTCCCGGGGCTCCCATATCCTCTACTAGGTTATGGGTACCAGAGTTTCTGGAGCAAATGGAGGAGCGTCAATGTAGCTACGGAGTTACGCTCGGACGGCGACACAGGCTTACAGTTTCTAATCAGCTTGTCCTTACTGTGCAATGACGCTGGTTCAAATCTCCCGACGTTACATTTACTCTCCATTCCACGCTGTTTACATATTTAATAATTCCAAAGATTCGTCGCAAGACTGTTTTCAAAAATGTGTAAAGGCTTCATTTTTTTTTTTAGCTGTGCTTTAAATTTTAGAGCAATATAAAACAACCGGTCTTATCAGCGTTTTACATAATTGGAGACAAGAGTTTTTGATTTCAGTAGATGTTGTTGGGCATAGTATACTTCATTTCCCGATTGTATTGTATAGACTGGATTTTTCTTCTGTCAGTATGTTGGAGTAGTTGAAGTTTGGTCCCATATACTTACATGTTTCCGTTCGTTTGATTTTTATTTTATCAGTTTGTAGGTGGCCGGAGTTATTATCATTTCCCTGTGTTGCTACTGTCGGCTCTGTGGTTTAGTCGATGCGAACGCTTCATAATGCCGGGATGCCGGGTTTGATCCCAGCTGCTGGTCATACACCTTGCGTTGGTTTCGACAGTGGTATCAAGAAAGGCAACCGTCTAGAAGCAATGGCAAACTACTGGGCGTAAATTTGCCTAGAAAAACCACACAACAACATAGGGGCTTTTGGGGTTGGTTCTGCAAAGTCCTGTAAAGGATACGCAACTAAACTTTTATTACAACACGGTAATCAGTTGTCCCCAATTCTTGGCTGGCAACTTGGTCGCAGAGAAAATTGTATGGACAGTGAAAGTAGATTTATACTGTAGGAGAAACTACAAGAATACTTGGGTGTGCAGATGATATTGATATCGTTTGAGAAAATGGACTACTGGCAGTAAAAACAATGACTCTCTTAAAGAAAACAGCGAAAAATCGATCGAGATAAGACAGAATACCTGGTAATAACAAGACAGTAAAAGTAAAGGACTAGAAGACCCTTATTCACACTTTCATGCGTATTGGGCATATAGGGCTAGATCTATATTTGATAGACCAAATAGCACTTGGTGGGTGATTGTGGTCAGCATCACACCGGCTACCTTTACTTCCCAGGACTGTAACTGGGTCAACATGGGAGCCAAGATCATTTTTGAAAAAAGTTCGGACCTGCCAGGACCTGAATCCACGACCTTGAAATCCACAGGCGGGCGTCTAGCCCCAAGACTACGGCGGCTCCCAGTAGCAATACAAAGTTGCGTTTTTCTAGGCAAATTTACGTCCAGTAGTTTGCCATTGCTATCTGGACGTTCGGCTTTCTTGATACCACTGTCGAAACCAATGCAAGGCGCATGGTCCGCAGCTGGTATCGAACCTGGCATCCTGGCATTACATAGCGTTCGCATCGACTTAGCCACAGAGCCGACGTGTTGTAATAAACCATGTGTTATTTGAAAGCATCCCAAAACTGTTACTGTGTTCAGTGTCACATGCCTTTTAAAAATCTACAAAAAATATTGTTGTAAATCTATTGTATATTCCTAGTTTTGCTCTACTATTTGCCGTAAAATGAATATTTTACTTGCTATGGCAACAGCAGTAACGTTTTGTTCAACTTTTAAATATATATTTTTTTAATTTTATGGTTTATTAATATAATTTTTTTATAACATGAAATACATATGGATAGAATGAACGGGGAACGGGGGGGGGGGGGGGGGGGGGGCGCACGAAATATTTCAAATGCTTAATGCTCTTCATGGTGATAATCCGGCCCTGGGTGGGGCGCTGAAAGTGCCTCAGTCCCCAGGTTCTGGCGTTTCTGAACCTACTAGCCCCCTTATCGGAAATTAAAAAAAAGTAGAGCACGCTTTTCTTATTTATGCCAAGAATAGAAGTTATGTTACAGTTAAAAGAGCCTTCTACACTTTGATCGTAGCCAAAAGACCGAGAGGCGATAATTAAATTAGTTTGCCTGTCTTGTTTTGCTAGGGATTGGGGGGGGGGGGGGGGGGGATTGGGGGGGGGGGGGGGGTCACGTTCAAACAGCATCCCCGAAGAGCGAGCTTTTGGTAATAATTGTGACTGCTTTTTTTTTTTTTGATAGATATAAAATAGCTTAACATAGCTTGCCACTAAGTAGCCAGGAAAAGGACTTGAAGTGTTGATGCGATTACAGTAGGCAGACCCAAATACTGTCCCAACGGAATGACATAGTCGTCTACCGCCCAGCCAATGAGCGACCCGGTTGGCGATGTGATTATTAAAAAGAGTCGGACCCCGAGAATTTTTAGCCACTCCGTGGGCATTAATGTCCCATCAATTATCACGTGACGCATGTACATACCACTGTGAATCACTGCGCACAAATAACTATTCCTATTAATAAAAATATATTTAAATAAACTTCTAAGAGAAAATATATAAACAAGCATTTAAAAACACATTTAATGTAAATTTCATATTTAAAGACAAGTTTTTATGACTATAGAATGTAAAAAGAAACGTGTGCCAGAGATTGCTACGCCAGGTGGTGTGAGCGGCCATGTTGGTCACATGCTTAGGTCTCTCCGGCTCACATGACCTCCTGTTTGTCCCCGTGATCAAGCCGTCCTTGTTTCCAGGCAAATTCAAACCCACACCTGGGGTTCCAGGCTCATGGATATGTTAGGGCACGCTCTCGACTCTAGGTATGTCAACGAAACATGAGGCATGTCGTCTTTTAAGTGTTTTCATGGTTACATGTTGGTGGTCACACGCGGATTTTCTTTCCACCAGGAGCCTTATCCATTTGTTGACTAGTATAGTATATTATTTATTACTATATATATATTATATATATATATATATATATATATATATATATATATATATTATATATATATATATATATATTTATATGCGTTGTGCTAGTTATAATAAATGTTAATATTTTTGTTAAATGTTATACCTAGGAAAACATATTATTTTATTAATATTAAAATGTTGGAGTAGTGACTACACTACAGTAACAGTATGAGTAGCTTACTTGAGTTACTTAACTATTTCTTTCAATTCACTAGTTATTACTTGGTACATGTTTACACTAGTCAGTCGATGTTTCCCGAATTTTCCTGCAGTGTGACTTATGATGCTACTCCTGTCAGTTCATCCCTGGCTCTGGCAAATAAAATAATGAGAAATTTTAACTTCTATAAGAACCTCATAGACACCATTGAAGCACTTTATTAAGATGCAGGCAGTGCAGTACTCATTCAAAATGACATGCACATTTTTCAAGACCAGTGTGAGAGTAAGACAGTGTTGCATACTTTATCCATGTCCTTTTCAATTTGTATTGGAACACATAATGAGAGAAACACGAGAAAATCATGAAACATCTATATCCATTGGTGGAAGACATGACAACTGTAATTTATGTTTTGCAGATGACATTGATCTCATAGCTGGTTCCGAAACAGAACTTACTACAAAATTAGAGACAGCCTGTTGTAATTATGTCATGGAAATAAATGCAGAGAAAAGCAAGATTCTGGTAAATAGTCATAATAATCACGTACCTCCCAACATACAGATAAAAAGGAAAAAACTAGAAGTTGAAACCTTTAAATATTTTGGCTCCCACATATGCAACAATGGCAACTGTACCAAAAAGATCAAGACAGGACTTGATATGGCAACAGATGTGATCACGGTGATATCCAGCTGAATATAGTCTAGAAGAACAAATCACTAGTATTGTCTGTTTTCTTATACGGAAACCAAAGCCCGGGTCCGACTATTTTTAATAATCACATCAGCGACGGCGTCACTCATTGGCTGAAAAGTAGATGATTTCGTCATCCGTCGGTATAGTATTTGGGTCTGTCTCACGAGTTGGACTCTCATTGTAAAAATGGAAAGGTGGATTCACACTTTCAAATGAAAATGCTACAAACGCATTTTACGAATTAGTTATTTAGAACAAAAAACTAATAAATATGTCAGAGACAGATTTGTGGGACATCAGTAGCCTCTCTTGGCAGTGGTGAAACATCACAAGCTAGCTTGGTTTGGGCACATAGTGAGACATGATTCAGTTTGCAAAGACTGTACTTCAAGTAATATTGGGGGGTAGTCAAAGAAGAGAGGGGCAAAGAAGAAACTAAAATGACAACATTAAGAAATGGACAGGACTAAGTTATCATACTGTGCTAGCGGGAAGAAATAGAAGGAAAAACACAGAAGTAGGGGGGATCAAGTAAATTGTGATTAGGACAAAATGTTATAGAAACAGCAAAAACAGGAATGTTAAGAAAAGACAAGGGTTCTTCTGCGCAGAGATCCTAGAATATTTCACCAGAACCCAGACAATAAATATCTATATCGTGAGTTACATGACGACAACCTAACATGGGTACATACACCTAGATGAACCACGGACTACAGATCCTAAATTAAATCAAGCAAAGGAATTATAATTACACTAAACAGCTGTTTATTTTTCTGAACTGAACACAGAATTAACTTATACTTCACAAATAATACATTACCAACACCCAACGTGCTTGACCAGAATCTAAAGTACTGATTATCAGCTAACAAGGAAATATGATGACACCGTACGCTCAGCGAGATTACCTCAACAATGGCAAAAACCGAAACAATGTTTAGCATGTATGTTAAGCTTCAAATGCCACTAGACCAACAAATCACTTATAGCTACCTGCCATCCTAGCGAGAATACACCCCAACATATTACACAGTATAAATACTGGAGACTACTTTTCAGGACTAATATGGAAACATACCACCGCCGCGAAACCAGCTTGACAACCGGTCTTCCCCTGCTGTCGCCCATACCCATGCTGGCTAGCTCAATGTGCAAAGCCGCAACAGCTAGGTAGGTTTCCACAGGGTCCGTCTGGAAGTCAAAATACTGAATGAGTTGGCCTTTTTATACCCAGTGGCCAGACTTTTCGCCATTGAAACCAAATTGACAAGCTGCTGAACAGCAGTCTTTCGCGTTCTTCAGCCTATTACAATAAACTTGTTCAATAAGCGGAAGACATGAAAGATGGCAAGGTTTTATTTGCTAGTGTTTCCATAAGTACACCTCCATGACCCTAATGGGTCAAGGGTTATGTTATTTACTAAGACAGTGTGCCTTTAAGATCATAAAGACATCGCACTCAGTGTATTATATAACGAAATCACAAATGCCATCCAAACTTGAAAGCACACACACAATGGAGGTTTACACGTCCAGAGGAAATGGAGTGGATGGTGATTTCCTTACATTGCAGGCTTTCACATACCTTGTGATGCGGGAAAGTTAGAGGGAACCAGATGCAGAGAGAGGAAAACTAAGATAAAATGTTTTGCAGCATGGTGTGGAAGATCTGTAACATAAGTAATTGAGTGTACAGAAGGTGGGGGGGGGGGGCGATATTGAGACCAACATAGCACCAGGGCATGGGCAGGAAGAAGGGTAACCTATGTGGTCACAAGAGGTTGGACTAGCCAAAACCTTCATTTTGCGTATTGCAGTCTCTAGGCTCTAAGAAACCTTCATGATAAAAAAGTGTAGGCTTTCATGCTGAGATGAAGTGAATGGTGATTTCCTCATTTTATGTAACATTTCAGTGCAGGGTGCCTAGAGAAATTAGAATATAGTATATAGTAGTCCTCAAGCCATGCAAATAACATGGTTTGCCTACTTAGAGAGAAGGCTGGTGATGCTATACCCTACAAAGCACCCACCAAAAGACTAGAAGCATATAGATATAGAGCGCAAGGTAGACCACGATGGAAAGGGAATATCAGTGAAACCACAACAGGAAGACGTGTCTGTGGTCGAGGCAGTCTTCCCAACAAGCTTGTTGTAAGTGATAACTTATTAGGGATTTGCTGAAACTGGATGTGTTGGGCCCACAAATGCAGATATTGTAGTCTAGCTCCAAACCACAACATGATGTGTGCCAGCTGCCCATTTATATGTGAATGCAGAATAATGAGAATATAGTAGTTGCTGTAGCCATAGATTTTGTATGATAACTAATTTCTGTGCTTTCAGTGAGGACAAGAGTGATGATTCTGCTGATGCTGGAGACATGCACCTCTCTCACACAGTCGACACAGATCTAGGTCAGTTGACATTCTACATTATGTGTGTCTGTACACACCACACATTACTGTGTGCATACATATGGACAGGGGTTTAAAGATCCATATCTAACACTTGTGTTCTTACATACACACAGCTCATTACTGTGTCCTTAAATACACAAATGTTTACATGTTTGTAGATGCAGTACATCAGAGTTATGTATCTGTAGACACAATGCAACAGTTTATGATGTCAAAGTAATTAGTGGGCTTACTAATATGGGTTGTGGGCTTTCTTACCTAATGATTACTGGTAATATCTGACACCTCTGTGTAAGCACACGTCTTGTGATTACCTTCCATTTACTGCACCTGATTGAATTTAAATGTTTGTACATTTTCCTAATTACTGTTTCTACTGTTGAGTAACTTGCTGTTAAAGTAATCATGTCCTTTTTTGCCAGGTTTCCAAGGCTTTATAGTGTTCCTTAGGCATACATCTACTTGCATATTTGTTATTGTTGTTTCTACTCTGACAAGTGAACAGATCCTTGCTAACCATCTCCCCAGAGCCGTAATGGTAGTGACCTGTAGACGTTGAGCTAAGTGTGATGCCAAGGCAGGTTGTGATTGGCTGTAGTAGAAGTTGAGAGGGGGCAAGAAGTAGATATCTGCAAGGATCAGTCAGATTATACACAATTTAACAGCTCTAGTCACACCATATCTGAGCATTGGTTTACGTGACAGCATGTTCTTGGATGATAGATCCAGTGTGTGTCAGTGATAGATGCTCCCAAAATTGTGTCATTATGAAACACTTCTAACACAGTCACTACAGAACGCCTCCAACAAAGGTGTCTTATTACCAGACGCCTCAGACAGTCATGACTGAACACCCTCAGCAAGGTGACATTACTAGACCTCTCTAATAAAGGGTCGTCGCTGAACACCTACGACAAGGTATCATTATTAGACACTTTCAGTAAGGTATTATCACTGGATATGTCTGTCCACCGAAAAGAAAAAGAACCAAAGCCAGACAGTTTTATCAAAGAACTACTATTTGTGGATGACCAAGCACTAGTTGCTGATTCAGAAACAAAACTGCAAGACCATTTAAATGATTTAAACCAAGTTTGCAAAGAGCACAACATAAAAATTAACACCAACAAAACAGATTATGGCCGTAGCCAAAGTAGACAAAACAATAAATATCCAGCTGTCAGAAAACCCTCTGAAACAAATCAGAAACTTCAAATACTTAGGAAGAAGCATAATATTATTAGTCGGCACAGCTGAAGATGAGATCGCTGACAGATGTAACAGAGCAGTCCAACTCATTGAGCAAATGACACTAAAACTAAGAAACAAACATGGGTCAGAAGAAACCAAAATAGTGTCAGTTTTCTTTCTTGCCAGCCCTGTGCTTCCAATGCCAGACCTGGACAATCACAGAAAAAGAAAAAAAGGACAATTGCAACAATTCAATTGAGATTCCTACAAAAGGCTCTTTAAACAATGAGAGATAAGATCAAAAATGATGACATCCAAAGGAAAGTGGAAGAAACGAGCCTTAACTCAGCTGTTGCTTCTGTCTGTTGTCAGCACCAATCAAGAACTTTGGGTACTCTAAGAGGACCAGTTACTCATCTCCATGCTCACATTTATTGATCATTACTGCTTTTGGATGCTAGATAGTCTTCATCACTGGTGATGGACAGACAGCACATCAAGTTAACACCACAAGTACACTTAAGCTTTTGGAAAATGTGGAGCCACATGTGTGAAGCTAACGTGACTGAATTTAAACTTTCTTTTTGTCCAGTATGATCTATTTCTGTTCTTGCATCTGCTACATATGCAAGTCAATGTCAGCGTATACAGGTATTTTACCTTAATGGCCTGAGTTGCACTTATTGCCCCCAAATGTTGATTGTTGAATCAAGAATTGACATCACAGCACTCAAGAAATTTCCATAAGCGCTTCATCTCCCATCTACAGCAGCAAGCATAGTTCCAGTTCTGATGGCACTAGTAACAGTCTGTTACTGCTGTACTTTTGCAATAGACCGTGCTGATGTTGACTGCGTGGGCAGTTCACTTGTGCTACGTAAACTGTGTCACTGGATGCCGCCAATTTTCCTTGTTTCAGTCTGCAAAGTTAAACAGGAGCTGAGTCAACTGGAAAACTCCAGTTTGGAGTTGTCAGGGACGGTTGAGGCAGACTTAGGTACGGCCTTGTGTTCACAGAACACACATTCATTGGTGTTGTTTTTTTAAATTTCTATCAGTTCATTTTCTTCTCCGTGTTTTCAGTTGTACTGTGCATACTTTTATTTGATGTGTTGCTGCAGTCTTTGCAATTTATTACAGTTGTTCGCATTTGATTATTGTGTGTTCATCGATAGTTGCTAATTACACAATACTGGATTCTCCAGTCTTTTGTATTCTACCCTTGGGTGTAGAGGTACCTGTGTTTCTTTCTTCCTCAACCCTCAAGTGTAGAGACACCTCATGGCCATGTTTAACTCTTGTCTCTTCTACCCGAGGATGTAGAGGAACCTCACATTGTCTATGCCTGCATGGTTCATGAACAGGGAGTTGTATCTGAGGCCTTTTTTGGTTCCTCATGTTGTAGAATTGTTCCAGTAGGGCAGCATTCGTTCTCTGGGTCATTCTGCTAAACTTGTAGGATGTACGGCTTGTTTGAGAAAATACAGTTGCAGATAACAGTCGCTGTATGCTCTAAGTTTGCACTATCCTATTTTGAGTGAAGTTGCTGATCTGGTGATCTGTTTAACAAAAAAATTTTTTGCTTCAGTCATTACTGTATATAAAATGAAGGTAGACTTAGGTTGGCAGGCTGAGTGACTTCTCAACACAGCATTGGCACAGCGCTGCTAGAAGGTGGTTGATCCCTGGTCTAGCTTGTTGCTGGTGTGTTCTGACCAGTAATCTCATTATTCTTTCTCTGTCCTGTTTCCTGTGTTTTTGCTTCTACTTAAATTTGAATGTTACGCATGGTTATGAATTGCTGTTGTAATTTTTTATTAAATTATTTTCTTGCATGTCAGTTGTATTTTCGTTGAGTTGTTTGACTTATTTGCTAGTAGATTTTGATGTTTAAAGTTGCCTGTTGCATTATTTGCATGAAAACTGAATGCTGTCTTGAGCTTGTGTATGCAAGGCACTATATGAAATATTTTGAGGTTCCACATTTAGGCATTTGTTTTTATAAGAAGTAAAAATGAACAGCCATGGCATGTCTCTGCGGACATTATAACTGTTAGATCCACTCGTTCTGTATTATGAAAAGATATCAAACCACAACAACAAAACAACTGTAAGCTTCACAATATCATGAAAGCCTTCATCCATATATTTGACAAATCTAGAGCAACACGAAAAAACTATACACAGAATTACTTAACTGACCTATCTCTGATAAAAAAATTACATCTGTGTCTGGCTAGTAGAATGTCAGCACACGTGTAGCCACCAAAAATAAACACTGACCCGAAAAATTAGCGAACGGCAAAAATTTTTTTTTAGATATAACTGTGTTAAAAGTTTAACGTCTGCACACTTATCTCTTGTCAGTCTCTTGTGTTATTTTTTTTTTTTAATGTCAAGTTGTACCTACTGTCTGTGTATATTCTATGTTGGTGTACCCCTTCTCTTGTCAATCACTTTGTGTCTCTAGATGTCTCACAGTTTAACAGATGATAGATAGTATATCCTGGGCACCCTTAGTTGCAAGGTATGCTGTGATGTTCTGCAGTCTTAAGCTGTCAGTGACTCATTGAAACCATCTTCTGTTAAGTCTCCCCCTGCCTCTTGGTGTTTCCCTGAGTATGCTGTCGCTGCTAGCACCATTAGATTCATTGTACTTTTGATATTGTCTGCTTTGTCTGGGATGTCAGATACTAGTAGTACCTCTGGCATAGTGGTCGTCATGTCCTTTTTAAGGCAGTTCACCGCCTTTGTGCTAGGTCTGGCACTCAGCTCTCTCCTGTGGCTCCCAGCAGCTGTCAGCATGTGACCACCTCTCTGGCGACCTCTTTGATGGGCTGGCTAAACCAGGAGTGGGTAGCTGAACTGGTTTTAAACCACTCAGTGATTGGGATATGCCTACCCTGCATGCAACGACTGGACTCTGGGTATTGTGCGTATAAAACCTCTTATTGTTTCAATGGACAAGAAGGCGTTCACCAGCAGGCTCTGTGGAGAGCTTCGATAAAGGCAGGACACTTAAGACGCCTTGGTCATCCACTACACCTAGTTCTATTTCCAATGGTCTCAACATTGTCCTGCCATTGGATCATGATGGACATAGAAGATAGAGTGAGGTTGACAAAATGCGCAGCTCTTCCTCACTTAAATCCAAGTCCTTGCATAAGTCACTTTCATCCAGCTGCCTGCCAGGCAGCGGAGGTTGCACAGGCAGACTAGAAAGAATCGTGCTGCTAATCCCACACACACTGCAGCTTCCATCTGTTGTCTGCACTGCTCAAGAACATTCCAGGCTCATATTGGACTAATCAACCAACTTCGTACTCATAATCATTGATCGTTACCACTTTGTATGAGAGTGGTCTTCATCACTCGTGATGGACAAACAACACCTTTGATATTCTGTTACAGGACCTTCAATGCTTTCTGCCCTTGTACTGCTAATATAATGTGTATATGATGTACCTGTAGTGTCCTGTGTTTCTGTACTGTGGATGTACTGTGTTGTTCACATGTACCTTTACTGCAATGATCACTGACATTTGACCCACAGATCACACAGACGAGCAAGCAGCAGCTTTTGCAGGCGTCCAGCAACATCAAGGAACAATTACCATAGACCCGTCACTACAGTACCAGATCAGAGCTGACAACAGTGCAGGTAGCCTTAGCTTTCATCCATTGTCTTTTGTCATATTTTACAGCTTGGCTCTCATTGATCTCTGTGGCAGTGTCTTGGGAAATAATTAATGTACTTTCTCATGTCTTGTTATATCATGTAGTGATAGTGGGGTATGTGTGTTACCACTGTATGATAGAATAAGACCTGATGGTTTCTCTGTAAGTTGATGAGAGGGACTTGATGTGCCCAAAATGTAGAGATGGTGGGATAGTTCACAGCTGGTGAAGAAAACCCTGATACAAATGTCAGTGGGGAGGGAGTGCCTTGAGCTGAAGAGCTAATAAATATCTATGGGGAGTGACTGCCTGAGCTGAAGGGTTGATAAATGTCCGAGGAGTGTTAGCGCCTAGGCTTAAAGTCTGGACTGGTAAATATTTGAGGAGTGAGTACCTGGGCTGAAGGTCTGATAAATGTCTGTGGGGAGTGAGTGCCTGGACTGAAGGTCTGACAGACATGTGCAGCTTGATCTGGGTTCTAATGGTAAAGCATTATTGATCTCTGGATCAATCTATTTGCTAATTTGGCAATCCTAACCAACACAGTCAATGGTGACTCCACTAGCCATGTGGCACTAAACCACAGGCTCAAGACACCTGTACCATGTCATTCACCACTCTAAAAATTAGTGGTAGTGAAGATTAAGTAGGAATGGCTCTTAGTATCCCTGATATTTCATTGTAATATCTCCAGGAGGTTCTTGATATTGTTTACATGTGGGGACTTCTTCTTCTTCTTAGATTTCATCGACTGACATCTGCAACAAAAAGTTCTGGTTGTTTATCCAAAAGTTGAGTTTTTTTTTAGTACACACCTGTTTAGCAGATCTAGCTTATTTCTTCTTCGTGTTCCCCAGCTGTAAAATCTGTTGCTTGAACATCCGTTTTACAGATGTGATTCATTTGTATGCAGACTGCTGGTTCCTTGCCAGTCAGGCAGATGCACTCTGACTTTAAAGGAAGCTCCCAATAAGTCAACTCTTATGACATGCTTGTTGGATAGGCCCCGGAACCCACACCGGGACCAGCTTATTTGTATACAGACAATTCTTTCCTTGTCTCACAGGCATATGTACTCCAACTTCAAAGGGGAAAGAATCTTTTTTTTTTTTTTTTTACTCACAAAATGGGGGTCCGGAAACCCACACAGGGAACAATTAATTGCTGTTGCTAAATTGTCAAGTTGATTTATTCATGACCTACTTATTCATGATTTATTCAGTCCATGAGACTTGATGTCATGACATGATCCTCTCTGTGTGTCTACAGGTCAGGTGACCTATAGGGTTGTGCAGGTGGCTCATGATGGTAGTGAGGCAGCAGCACAAGTTATGGGAGGGACAGCGTTTGCTGGACAACAGGTAAAATATTCACCTCCGTGTTCTTTAATCTTCTTGTAGTGAACTGGTTGTATTGATAACTTTGCTATATCTTCATGATTTGGCTAACAAATTCAAACGTTTTACTTAATCTGAATATACTGTCCCAGAAATTTTATCTTGAGTGGGCTCTTTTGACATGTCCCACTGATTTAAAAAAAAAATGTCCACGCGGTGTCAGCTTTTTCTTCTTCCATTGATCTCATTCAAGTTATTGTTGCGGAGATGTAAGGATCTTCTGTTTGCTCTTTCTAATACATGTGTAGGTTGAACTCATTTTTTCAGAGATGTTTTTGGTGCCATTGTTGCATCTCTTTTGTGCCCTTCAGCTTGCTGTATATCCATTTTATTTCTTCAGAATGGCAGCTGAGGTTCAGATGTTCCTTGCTCAAAGATCCTTACTTTGCGACACAAACTGTATGTGTCCAATACCAATAGTCACACTTGTCAGAGAGTAATAATGCCCATACAATGAAGCCATAGTTTTTTGCATGCTTCCCATAAATTTTGTAGAAAGTACCCCATGGCATCCAATCCACATGAAAGGTTTCCTTGTCTAAGAGAGATGTCTAACATGCTGAGGAAGTGAGATAAAATGCTTATCTGTTCAAGGAATCAGTCTCAGATCTGCAGACTGCTTCCTGTGGATTCCTAAAGGTAGCAGCCCATAATGAGTGGAAGGCAGGATGTGACGATTCCTTAGGTGAGCCCAGTATACCAAAGTGCCATGCATTGGCTGTGCACTTATGGAAGCCTCAATTGATGACAGAAAATGCTCATGAGGGTCAACCAGTCTGCACATGGCCACCCTGGATGGAGTCCTCCTGGGATGACACCTGTGGATAAGCAGATGACAATGTCACCTCACCTATAAGACTACAGATGTGCCACGAAACTAACTTTAAAGGCTGACCTGGATAACTAATGCCCCAAAAAAGGTCAGATGTATCCCCACAAATATCACAGCTATGATGTAAACAGCCACAGCAAATTTATGTCTCTCTGATGAATAATGAAGAAGAAGAGTCCAGACCATCTTATCTGTTCCCTTTTTAATGAATTGTGAGATGTAACATTTTGTAACAATGTTTACTGTGGCACATTCATTCACTGGTGGGCAGGTTGTTTATTGTTTGTCTAAAAAGTCATGGCCATTCAAGATGGTAACCCTACTGACGTGACCTAGTTGAATGAATTTTGTTAGTTGAACATAGACTATTTAAATATCAGTTAAATCGCATTAACTGACATAGCACTCAGGACATTCCCATAAGGGTTTTGTCCCCATCTGCAGCAGCCAGCACAGAGTTCCATTTGTGGTGTAAAAGTAGCAGTCTGATTGTATGTGCATCTCACCTTTTCCCTGAACCTAATAAACATTTATTAGGGCACATTTAAGTTTTCAGGTCCATATGTCTTGTTCTTTCTTTAAAACTTTGATGTTTTCAAAAAACAGCATAATAACCAGGGCTGTACCGAATATTCGCTTTGTATTCGCTTCAGGCTGAATAGTGGACCTAATAACTATTCGGTATTGGGCCGAATAGTTGCGGTCGGGTCGAATACGAATAGTGGTTACCTTACACCCGTTTCTGGACTGGTGGAAAATAAACATATCAAGATTTCCCACCTTGGTTCATACCGTCAAGCGTTAACTTTCTGCACCACCTAGGAGCGTACCAAGTGAACGTCTGTTTAGTACAGCTGGAAATACCTTCAGTGAGACAAGAAGCTGCCTTAATACTGACAACATAGAACAATTTTTTTTTGGGGGGGAGGAGGGGGGGAGCTAATGCCGCTTTCAAGGATTAACTAAGCTGTCAGTGGCAATTTACAAGTTTAGTTACTTGTTAAGAATACTTTCATTCCTAGTTATTAGTTACCACAGACTGATGCAAAGGATGCAAAACATGAAATGTTTTTAAATGTTTACTATTCTGTACTACATTTTATGAAGTAAAATTTCAGCGTACATTTGACATTATGGATTTTTTTTTTTTTTATAGATCTATTTTATACACGAAAGTGGGAAGATGCATAACTGAAATACGAAACAGATGAGGACAGGCAAAACCTGCATTTTATAAAATGAAAAACATCTTATGCAATATATCTTTGTCATTGAAGGTTAGAAAAAGAATTCTTGCTTGCTACGTACATCCAGTTTTACATGTGGTTTTACAGAACAATGCCTAAAATACCTTGGACAGCCAAAAAAAAAAAAAAAAGCAACCATGAGGTTTTGATAGAGGCGGGAGCCCGAAGACAACTACTCACAGACATCAGAAGGAGACAGTCATCATTTTTCGGCCATGTTATAAGATGAGGGAAAATGGAACATGTGGTGACCACTGGAAAGATATGTGGAAGAAGGGATAGAAGAAGACAACGAGAGAAGATTCTTGACAGTCTTGTTGCATGGCATGGAGGTGTGTCAGCACACGAACTAATACATGCTGCAGGAGATCGCAGATTGTGGCTAGCGCCCATGCCAGTCGACAAAGCACCTGATGATGATGATTCACTATTCGTATTCGGCTGAATAGTTGGTCCAGCTATTCGTATTTGGCCGAATATTAAAAATCACTATTCGGTACAGCCCTAATAATAACCTAACATCCTTGGCTATGGAAGACTTGTCCAGATTTGATGGTTGAGTAATTCTTGAACCGCACTAGTGTTTTTTTTTTTTAATTCTTTGGAGGGTAGTTACAGTGTGTGCAAATTATGTATTTGGTGAAAGCAACAGTAAACAGAGTGATTTAATGCAACCAAATTTCTACAGTATTTGTCATTTAAAGTTTGTTTTAAACTTGTTTTTATTGTGTTGTTTTGCAGACAGTAATTCAGAATCCTTTCAACAATGGAGGCAGTCCAACAGGTAGGACATTATGTAATATTGATAGCCGTTATCACAAAGTGTCTCACACTTGACCTTCATTCCATCCTAAACCCACCAGCGTTTCTAGGTTTGGGTCTCTGCAAAAGTTGTCGTAAAGATGTGCATGCCCTTGAAAGCAGTGAAGATGTGCACATCCTTGAAAGCAGTGAAAATGTGCACATCCTTGAAAGCAGTGAAGATGTGCACATCCTTGAAAGCAGTGAAGATGTGCACATCCTTGAAAGCAGTGAAGATGTGCACATCCTTGAAAGTGGTGAAGATGTGCACACCCTTGAAAGCGGTGAAGATGTTCACACCCTTGAAAGCAGTGAAGATGTTCACATCCTTGAAAGCAGTCCTCCACATGTAGGTTCTGGGTTCCCTGTTGTAGGGAACAAAAAGACCCACTGCTCTCTAACAAGCATGTCACAAGAGTTGACTGGCAGGATCTTTTCTTCTTTGGGATGCATCTGAGTTGACTGTTTAGGGATCTTTCCTTCAGAGTCAGGGTGCATCTGCCTGAGAGGTGAGGAGCCAACAGTCTGCACACAAAAAAGCCAGATCTATAAAAAGGTTGTGCACACAAAAACTCAGCATCTATAGTAAGACTAACACCCAGAAAAGACATGGGGAAAAATGTGTCTCCGGTGCAGATTCCTCTTCTTAGCACTCACCAGCTTGTGTTGAAAGTTACAGGTCTTGAGTTTTGCATGCACACATGTTTTACAGATCTGGCTTATTTGCATGCAGACGGTTAGGTCCTCCCTTTCATGCAGATGCACCCTGACTTTGCATTAAACATCCCTAATTAGTCGCTGTCTGTGGCTTAGGCGTTATGAACGCGCTTTGTAATGCTGGGGTGCTGGGTTCGATCCCAGCTGTGGGCCTTGCGTTGGTTTCGACAGTGGTGTCGAGAAGCCGACCGCCCAGAAAGCAATGGCACACTACTGGACATTAACTTGCTTAGGAAAACCACAACAGCCAAAAAATGCTGGGGTTGGTTCTGCAACGTCCTGTTAAGGATACGCAACTAACTTAATTAGTCGCTACCTACAGCTGCTCTCTTATATATGTGTGTGATTGTACCATTCCTGTCATAAGTGTCGTGTTTTTGTCTATACTTTTCTGTCATTGGTGTAATGCCAGATTTCCATGTTTCATTGTTTTATCCTCCCTTCCCTTTAACATAATTCAGTGTGAATTTTCTTGTATATTACAGGGCAGTTTTATGTGATGATGTCCCCCCAGGATGTCCTGCAAGGACAGCGACAGATAGCACCTCGGACCTCATATTCACCCAAACTGGAAGGGGGCAGATCTACAAGGGATGACCGGCGAAGAGCCACACATAACGAAGGTGAGGCTCTCAATATGTACTTGCTGTTAATTATTATTATTTTTTTTAACTAGATGAAATGTAATTGCTGAGAAGAATGCACAAATTATACGGTATGATAGAAAACAAAACAGACACTCCTCCAGCAGAAAGATTACAACTGTAATTTTTAAACATCTTATGAGAAGTAATCAGTAAAACAACATGGTGACAACTGGCAGTATTGGAGAAAAAGAGTAAGGGAAAGCCAATAAGAATTCAGTCACATTCTTCAGAGGGAAGGACACAAGTGAGCTTTCTCATCTGGCATTAGACATGTTTTGAGAAAGCATGGACTCAAGAACTTGGTTACAACCGGCAAGATTTATGGAAAAAGTGCAAGGGAGAGGCAAAGAAATAAATACATGGATGGTCCGGAATAAGAGCACTGACCTGATCCCTGATTCTGCTGATGTTTGGGGTGGCAAACCATGACCACCTAATCCTATCAGCATGTAATGATGATAACTATTGTGTGGTCTCGTTTTTGAGGTTTGAATACGTTTGTATTTTTTTTCAATTCATTATGTTTGTTTTGTTGACAGTTGAGAGACGCAGACGAGACAAAATCAACAATTGGATAGTGCAGTTGTCAAAACTTGTGCCAGACTGTGCCAACGAACCAGTCAAACAGACGCAGGCTGTAAGTGTGCTTATCCATTCTCTTCAGTAGGAGAGTTGACATTTGTTTCACCTGCATTTAGTACAGTGCCAGGCTGTTCTGTGTAGCCATAATGAAGTAAGCAAGCTAGTGGCAACTTTGACACAAACATGAGCTGAAGTTCTGCACACATCACATTAGCTAGAACTTTGTTATACACACAGTGTCAGTTAGGGCACTCACAGACTCATCGGCTAGAGCTTTCTCACACAAATGCTCACATCGGCTAGAGCCTTCTTATACAAATGCTCACATCGGCTAGAGCTTTCTCATACAAACGCTCACATCGGCTAGAGCTTTCTCATACAAACGCTCACATCGGCTAGAGCTTTCTCATACAAATACTCACATCAGCTAGAGCTTTCTCACACAAATACTCACATCGGCTAGAGCTTTCTCATACAAATACTCACATCGGCTAGAGCTTTCTCATACAAATACTCACATCGGCTAGAGCTTTCTCATACAAATACTCACATCAGCTAGAGCTTTCTCATACAAATACTCACATCAGCTAGAGCTTTCTCATACAAATACTCACATCAGCTAGAGCTTTCTCATACAAATACTCACATCAGCTAGAGCTTTCTCACACAAATACTCACATCAGCTAGAGCTTTCTCACACAAATGCTCACCTTAGTTAGCGTGCTCTCCTACAGCCGCTCACATCACTTAGAGAGCTCTTACACCAATGTTCAAGTCAGAGTTCTCTCACACAAACGCTTACACCACTTATAGCTCTCTCACACAAACGCTTACATCACTTAGATAGGATTTTAATGAAAGCCAAGCGGGGTCTGGCTGCGATGAGAGTGATGGCGGCGGCAAACTGTGAGCAGTGTCTTCTATACTGTTTTTGAATACGAGATGGCAATCCCGACTCTCAGCCCTAAGCAGATGAAGGGATACAGAATGTGGCTTTGCACACCATACTTGTGCCACCTTCTTGATTTTCCGATCATGAAAGACAGAATACAAATTTTTCGAGCTCGTGCCTACCTCACTCACAGTCAAGGCGGACACACAACATCCATTACATAGTCAAATCAAGAAGATAAAAGGCAGCAGGTTGAAAAGAGGAAAATCGTGCATGGGTCAAGCCGAGGACATTATTTTACAGGTATGTTCACTTGAGGACATAGAACCCGGCGAGGAGTGGGTACAAGTGCCTTCAGAGTGCTGTACATCTTTTTCTGTTTGCATTCAACTAGACAGAAAATGCAGACAACAGAGTCCGACTGCTGTGAAAGTAGAAATTCAAGCCTTGATTTTAAAGAACGCTCTAGAGGGTGATGCTGTCATTTACACAGATGGTTCTGTAATCTGCCACGTTAGAAGCTTGTGGGCTTTCACAGCTCAGTTTGGAGGGAGAGTTGTGAAGGAAGATTCTGGAGCTTTTGCTGTAACTACAAGTAGTCTGACTATGGAGGTCATGGCTGTGACTAAAGCAGTAACATGGCTAGACACAGACTTTCACTGGAGCATGCTTTCTCAGTGACTCAATGAGTATGCTCAGGAAGATAGAGAAGGGCTGGGTCAGAAGGAAGTGGTTGGTGGCTCTACAGAATTCACGGCTGACAAGGATTAGTTTTATTTTCGTGCCAGGATATGTAGGGGTACAAGGAAATGAGCAAGCTGATAGACTTGCAGCTAAGGCTACTGTGAAAGCCGGACAAGCCATGGACCAGGCTGATATACTGAATGCTCTAAGAGAGTTGAGACATTTGCATGAACCTTCTTCTTCTTCTTGTTTACCGGCTGTGAATTCTGGTGGTAAGTCCCGGTTGTTCATCCATTTGGACTTTTGGCTTTTACCTTGACCTGAGTTTTGCGTGTACATCCGTTTTACTGGCTTATTTGTTTGCAGTTACTCGTTCCCCGCCTCTCCGGCAGATGTACTCCGACTTTGAGGGAAGACGTCAAGCCTATTTCTAGGTTGACTGTGGCCATTGTTTTGTGTTGGTCGAGATGTTGCCTCATTTGTGTGGTGTCCTCTTTGACCCTTTACAAGTGTGGCCCCCGGAGAACCCCCCTTAGGGCAGCCCTTGGTAGAATTGTCAGCCCTCAAGGGAAGAAAAGGGGAGATCATGGGCATTCCCCACCATCCAAGGAGGCTTCCATAAATGCAGAGCAGACACATGATGCTCTGGTCTGGGCTCACCCAAGGAATCGTCATGTCCTGCCCATGATTGCTTAACCTCACAATCATATATTGAGCTTCCCGCGCTACCAAGCTGCACCCTCCGGAGATCAGCAGGGAGCAGCCCCGGGACTTTTGTGACCACACTGATAGGTACATTATTCTTCATGGCACGCTAGACATCTTAAACATTGTTTCAACTGTGCCCTTAGCACGACAGGGAAGCAGGTGTCAGGCGTGACTTCACCTGTTTGGTCCCAACACTTGGGCAAATGGGACCAGTGGATTTGGACTTTTCTGATCGGTACGAATTATGATGGCTGGACTTTGGGCTTGCTTGTGTGCCGTAGGATCTAACTTTGTCGGACATTATTCCCTAGCTAGCAGATGAAAAGTTGATGTTGTGGTGTACCTCAGCGCGGTGACGACGACGCTGAGGATTGACAGAGGATGTACGTAGGTAGGATCTTGCTATGAGAAATTGTACGCAAAAGATGTTACTCGTCTTGGCTGCGGGTAAATCTCTTGGTCAAAGGTTGAGTTCCAGCAGCACAGTTTTCCATTCGCTCCAGACTTTTAACCAAGAGTTGCCATTTGGTGGTACATTTGACAAGTAGACTTAACTCATGTTCCGAATGAGTTTTTCACCCATGCGTTTAGAGGCGGGCTGATGAGAGCCAGAAAGGACACTACACCTCTGGGGGCCGTCAGCTCCAAGATCCCCTGCCAACCCTGTTAATGCTCATTTGAAACAATCGTGGCGCATGACGGGGACGTGCAGCAGGAGTCTTGCATGAGCTTCCGTAAAACCAGAACAGCGAAGGACTGGCGCTCGAGTGAGGTACAGAGTATCTCCTTATGCACATCACATCAGACTTAACGTCACCTCAGGCCTGTGACCGAAATCACCGCGCCACATTTGCATGAACCAACTGAGAACTGTGAATCTGCAACCATTGTCAGACTGCAAGAACATGTCAAATGGAATGTCGCCAAACAGAAAACACTACCCGGGTAGCCTAAGAAGAAGAATAAACCAACACAGAACTGGTGTCGTTAGCTGCTGGATTTACTGGAGGGGATCCGAGCACTTATGGACTGAGTGGTTCGACATGGGATAATCTGTCGACTAACCAACTAACTAGAGTTCTCTCACACAAATGCTTATGCCACTTTGAGCTCTCTGTCACAAATGCTCATGTCAGGTAGAGACATAATCGCTCTCTGAGGACAATCCCGCAGCAGAACTGGTCATAGGGATATGGAGTGTTACACCACCACAGATACTAAATCACAGCATTATCAAGTGTGCTGACACTACTGAATTTGCACAGCACTGAAAATTTGTATATCAAGGCCATAAAGCTGGGCCAACTATGTCCACTATGGCATTTGAAGAGGGGTGGGGGGTGTTAGCAAAAGGTCTTTTATTCCTCTGTGGCTGTAGTGTAGTGGTTTTCAGTCCTCAGCGTTTACCAGAGTTCGATTTCTATGATGGGTAGTCTGACTGACTGACTGACTTTCTACCCCACTAGGACATCACACAAGCGATAAACACAAAGTGCCACCATGTGGATGAGGATCGCAGCAGAGAGGTCCCAGAAACCACGTTCAGACATTTGGCCATATTTATGGCCTGCCTATATTGCGGCCCCTGGAAAAAGCCAGGGTGTGGCTTTAAATAACCAAAAATTACATCCTAAAAAGGACGAAAACCCTTTTTATGACTATGGGTCATCTAGGAAAAGATGGTTCTCATGGCTTTCAGACAGTGGAACGACATAAAGGATTGGGGCCTCACCACTGACATTCCCAGAAATAGCAGTGGATGCATTACAGCCAGTCTCAGTTAAGGAGACAGCACACTATTTTTTAATTCATGTTAAATCCACACATCAGTGAGCATCTGATTTGCTCTCCTATAAATCCTTTGGTACATATTCTGCTCTCCCTGTGTGGGTTCCAGGCCCTGTTGTGGGAAAACCAAGAATAGACCCACTGCCTCCGCAAACATGTTGCATCGACTGAGTGGAGATATCCTTCGAATTTTGAGTACATCAAACTGAGAGGGAAATAGTCTGCACAGAATTAAGCCAGATCTGTAAAACGGATGTTCACACAGCACTCAGGTTAGAGGTCATGACTAAAGTATGAAGGTGGATGAAGAAGAAATCCTGCTCCGGAGGCCACTAATTAACATTTGCAGGTTTTCATTAAGTAAACCCATAGACCCACCAACACATGATTGCCTTTGTCTGTTTCAGAGCAAAGGTGGCATACTGTCCAAGGCTTGTGAGTACATCCAGGAGCTCAGAGCTGCCAACCTTCGGCTGGCAGACAGCCTCAAGGACGCTGAGCGGTTACACATCGACAACGATTTGCTGAGGCAGCAGTGTGAGGAGTATAAGCAAGAGAATGCAATTTTACGATCCCACCTTCAGCAGCATGGTGTTATTTTAGACAATGGTTCAGGTACATCCTAACCTTGTGAAAGACTGGTTGTAATTAGATCTCATTTTTTTTTCCCTTTCATCATCATTTGACTTCCACCTCATCATTTGACTACAGCGTGATTTCAGCTCATTGTTTTTTGACCAAAAATTCACCTTATCATTGACCACAGCTTCATTTCACCTCATTATTGTTTGGCCAAAAATTAACCTCATCATTGACTACAGCTTGATTTCACCTCATTGTTTGGCCAAAAATTCACCTTATCATTGATGACAGCGTGACTTCACCTCATTGTTTGACCAAGAATTCACCTTATTATTGACGTCAGAGTGACTTTAGGCCATCATTGCCCACAGCATAACTTCACCTCATTGTCTGACCAAAAATTCACCTTATCATGGCGTCACCTATCATTTGACCACAGCATGACTTCAACGTATCATTGCTTGTCCAGGAATGCACAAAACTGCCACAGATGCTCTCTGATGTAAATTATTGTTGTCCCATTTGAAGATATATTTGTTACGTGGATCACATATAACAGGCAGCAGGGGGGAAAGTACAGTGGTACTGAAGGGGAGGCTGTGTAAATAGAACTAGTTGTGTATGGATGAACAGTAGAAGGGAGGAGACTAAACAGTATGTAAGAGTAGCAGCAGAGACTACATTGAGATGAAAGGTAGCAGAATGTACCGAAAGATCTCCAACACTGAATACAAGTCAATGGTGAGGCTACAGGGTATGTGTGTCTACCTTGAAGGTCATGCTGGTTATGTCTGAAGATGTGGAATAATCAGTTACCTACACTACGTGCTGGTATGACCAGGGACTGTTTGACAAGCACAGAGGAGGACAGTCTAGGTTTTTAAGCTTAGTAGTTTCTTAGTATATCGTGAACACAGTAGAACAACAATCATTCCACAAGATCTGAACATTTTTTTTTAAAAATATGTCTTATAGACCTCATCATGTCTATGGGTTAAAATTCTTGGCTCATCATAAATGTCACAGTGACTTTAAACAGTAATAGAGGGTATGATGGTGTCCATAGGTCATTGAAGACACACTGGAAAACAAAATTGAAATGACTGGGGAACTTGTTAAGACCAAGTCTTTCTTGCCAGTTGTGGTACATCCAAGTGGCAAGTATAGCACAGTACAATGCTGCACATGCCACATCTAATTAGTGAACTAACAGAAGTCCCTCCAGTTGATAAAATACCAAGTCATTTATTCGAAGCTGAGATGTGTGATATTAGTGTTGTTAATTGCAACCTTATGGTTTTTTATCGTTTATAGATTCATGATTTGAAGGCTGAAAGTTGTTTTGTCATAACAGTTCTTGTTCCCTGCTAGGGATACTAAATCAGTCTGTAATAAGCGTCCTTCTGTTCCCCATTGGTTTGGTACATCCTGGCTTTTGTTACCTGAAATCAATACATCATTATGAACTTTGTATTCTGTCACACATCAAAGCAGTTTGCTGGTTTTGTAGGGTGTCATCTTGTGCGGCTCATATTCATTAGTATCTTGTATGCTGAGGTGCATTATCATGTACAGCTATTATCTGGTATGTTGATGTGCATTATCGTGTACAGTATCATCTTATATGTCTGACTCCATACATCATCTCGTAAGGCTACAGCTGTACATAATCAAAGAAATTGGCTGATTTAATATAGTATCATCTTGTAGGGCTAGTATAATACATTATCATTGTGATTCGCTGATTCCATAGAATATGTTTTATTGCTAAGATTATACATTATCTTGAATGGCTGATTCCATGTACAGTATCATCTTATCTGAGACCATACATTATCATCATGTACAGCTGATTTAATAAAGTACTATACTGTATGGTCAATTTCATAGTCATCTTTTGTTAATGATTCCACATCTTGTTTTAAATGACTCTTTTTACACTAATTATAAGCTTTATGTGAGCAAGAAATGCAAAATTTGTTCATATTGGTTGCATGATCTGGTTGATCAGTGCTCATCTGTGAGAGTGATTGTATGACACTGTCATTCACCAACTGTAAATTAAATAACTAAAAAAAAAATTTATTACCTCATGCTTGAGAATCTCTGTTCACAAACTTTCATTTCATTTGTTTTTAAATGTTTGTTGTTTCCTTTATTGGTGACAGGCCGTATGATGAATTATTTAGGAACAGTGCTGAAAAATTCTGAATTGTTTCATGAGAATCAGAAGACTAATGGGAGCCGCTTCTATGCACCTGTGTGGTTTTATTATCAGCCCTGGCTCCAACCCTAAGGTGCTATTGGGAAATATTTTGGGTAATACAGATGGTTGATCGCACTGCCTGTTGATCTTTTTTATTTAAATAGCGGGTCTAGTTGCAAGGAAGTGAAAGGGTGTTGCAGAACACCAACCACATAATTTTTTGGGGTTGCTCATGTTTTCAATATTTGATTTTGTATCTATAATGCAAACCTGATAAGGAGAACCTAGTGGGGAACCCAAGAAATGGATCTTCTTATCCAGATAAGAGTTCAGAAATTCACCACATCCGAGATCAACTTCAGCAGTCTGCACTGCAGTAGTTTGCCACTGCTTCCTGAACAGTCAGCTCTTGATGCCACTGTTGAAACCAATGCAAGGTTGTCTGCTGTCAAATCACCTGCAGTCGGAATAGAACTGGGCACCTCTGATTTACATCTAAAGAGCAGGGAGGATTGATTAAATATTAATAGAACTGGATACAGGCTAGTTTCCAAGATGCTTTTTATAATGCACACGTTGATATGTCTGATCCTAGATTGTGTGATGACTGGGACACTTCATGTCTGATCCTAGATTGTGTGATGACTGGACACTTCATGTCTGATCCTAGATTGTGTGATGACTGGACACTTCATGTCTGAAAGTAGATTGCGTGATGACTGGACACTTCATGTCTGATCCTAGATTGTGTGATGACTGGACACTTCATGTCTGATCCTAGATTGTGTGATGACTGGACACTTCATGTCTGATTATCTATGGCAGTATACACTGTAAAGATATATATTTAAAAAAAAAAAAAAAAAAAGCACCAACACTATTATAAAGTGGTGCGTCCCATTTTTCATCTTTGCTTCATAAAGGCTTCATCTCAGCAATTGCTAGTCTTTTGTAACCATGTTATGAAGCCAACCACTCCCCTTCAACACTCTGCCTGTTGTATTTGTTGAATACCCATGTGCCTGGGTTTCTAAGTGGGAGCAAATACGTATGTTTATGTCAGTGTTAGCAAGTATCTATGTTAATGAAATGAGTTTCAATATGCAGGTTACCGAAGAATTTTTGCTGTAATTAAAAATGAATAAAATGATGTACAGAATTTAAGTGGCTATATGAAACGCCTCCTTTTGTTTGTTTGATTAATAAAATGTTATCACTCCAAGGAAGGTTGGCTGCATTGAATCTCCAGCACACTGTTTCTTGTTTTGGTAGTACATTCTCTGAGTGTCTGCTTCTGATGGTTTCCCATTTGTACCACTGTCTGTATCTTGCTATCTTGTTTGGCCAGACATATCATATATTTGATATTTACGATGTTTTTACTGTCTGTAAGAGCAACAGCCCACAAATACTAAGAAGCGAAATAAGACCAGTCTGATGCACACAAGTAGCGCTAAAAGTACATGACCTAAATGGCCAACAAACACACGATGTGGTTGTCTTGACAAAACACTCAGTTGTCCCTCACACAAGATACTCAACACAGTAGCCTTTAACACAACATAAAACAAGTCTCGTATGCAACACAACAGGTTCCAGCCAACATAATAGACTTTACACAATAATCTGACACAACATACTCAACACAGTAGCCTTTAACACAACATAAAACAAGTCTCGTATGCAACACAACAGGTTCCAGCCAACATAATAGACTTTACACAATAATCTGACACAACATACTCAACACAGTAGCCTTTAACACAACATAAAACAAGTCTCGTATGCAACACAACAGGTTCCAGCCAACATAATAGACTTTACACAATAATCTGACACAACATACTCAACACAGTAGCCTTTAACACAACATAAAACAAGTCTCGTATGCAACACAACAGGTTCCAGCCAACATAATAGACTTTACACAATAATCTGACACAACATACTCAACAAAAGAAACACTATTGTATACGATATAATCAGTCTTGATTTATTTGATGTTTAAAATGCAGCCTCAGACTTTTGGACTAAACACATACATTTACTGACCTCTGCAGCAGGGACAGACAAGTCTGGTCTGTCTCATCTTCAGATACAGGTCAAATACAGATTAATGTATCACAACAACTAGTTTATCAAAAAGCTGGCATTTCTAATTGATGCTGAGAATTTCCATAGCCACAAATCTCTGATTTCTCTCTTGCACATACAGCCACACAATGTACAGATATAAACAGAAATCAACTAAGCCTAGAATTGGAGTTCCCAGTTAACAGCTCCGGGGATGTCGTAGCCCACAACACTTCCCTTGCCGATACATTCACCAGCAAAGAACCAGAATGCGATCTCTGCTCCAACCAAAGTGTTTAGCCAGGCCTCCTGCAGGGAAAATAAAGAAAAGGCTTACACATATTACATCTTTTCACGCTACAACCTGTAGTGTTAAGTAAAACTTTTAAATATAGGCAATATATTCTAGACAATAAATAATAGACTAGACTAAAAAAAAAAAAAAGGACATCATTCTGTTGTGCTACTATGCATCACAGAAGGCTGTTTTATTCTTCATTGCCATTAATCACCTTTCAATGCTGAGTCTATCTGGCCTGAGATGACCCTCACTTTCACTATTTTGGCCCCTGATAAAACTAAGCTGAATAGCCCAGGATTAGACAGAATAGGCCACCAACAAAGATTTAGTTTGAACGGAATGAGTCCGGCATAAGCAGCACAACTGTAGGTAAGTTAATCTCTTAAGCATTCACTGACTAAACGCTGGTGAAAATTGTGGTTGTTCCTCCACTTCCGGACTTGTCTTGTCCCTGAACTGGCTTATCTGTACGCAGACTTTAGGTTTCTTACAGTTAAAAGAGATGCACTCTTGACTTCAGAGGGACAGGTCAGTTAAACGAAAAAAAAAACTAAGTTTGTAAGCACTCGCAGAATACAATGCCACAGCTTTTGGCAAGTCATTTGCCCACCAGAAAAATTACTAACCCATTGCAATTTTTCCTAACTTTATGAATATTTTAATCTCCAAGGTGTTTGTTCAATGCCTAGTACCCAGCAGCACAAGTTTACAGTCACTCTTATCAGCCTCTGGACAACAGATATTTTGCATCACCTTCTCTAAGACACAAAAAGAAGTCATAGAAAAATCCCTCAGCAGTTGAAAATACCTATTCTCTTAGAAACCATTTCTTTTTCTTCAGAGTCCTTGAGGTTCATTGCTACAGATATCACCTTCCTCCATTCATCATTCTTGACTGACCTTCTCTTTCCAGTTGGTGACTCCAGGTGTTTGAAGCCCTGTCTGTATATTATCTCTATCCTATCTTCTTGGTCTACCTCATAGTTTACTTACTCCACGCAGAGTTTTTGTCTTCTGTTACCTGCCATTCTCTCTATATGCCGTGACTATTGCAGTCTATTAACACTCAAGATGCCAATAATCAGTAGTGATTTAAAAAGATTATGAATGTCATTGTTGCTTCCCACCTTCCATGTTTTGCATTTTTGATTGATACAAATTTTTTTCATAAGACAGTTCTCCACAAGGCGTTAGAGCCGTATTAGGACAACTGGTCTTATCAGTGTATTAGCAGATGTTATAGGGTATACAGTATTTTATTTCTTGATTGTATTCTAGATTAATAGAAACCACTGGTTTGTATTTCTTCATCTTCACCAACTGTAAACTACAGCAGAAAGTTCTGGTTGTTTCATCCACTTCTGGACTTTAGTTTTGCACCGGAACCAGAGTTTTGCATGCACACTCCCATTTTACAGATCTGGCTTATTTATAACGTAGACTGTTGGTTCTGACTTCAAAATGACATACATGCTGGAGAGAGGGGGTAGTGATCCCAGACCCCACTGGGTAAGGTTTGAACTAGCATAAGACATTCCTCTGATCTCCTGGATGATCAGGTTACCTTGCCATCTCTTCAGAAACAGGCAAAGAACAAAAGATGACATGTGCAAATGAAAATCTCAAAGTAGTTCAGACAGTAGGCGATACAACCACAGCCTTGGTACAGGTGTTGGAAGGAAATCACAAACAGGCAGAGCCCACTGTTTAAATATAATCTATCAGAGGGAGTCTGGACAGCACAGACCGTTACAAACAGTGGGGACAGTCTACTAAAAAACTGACTGTGTTAGAACTCATATTGAAAAAGGCATCTACCCATGTGAGTTCCCGGGCCCCACTATAAAAAAGAAAAAAATCCTTCTACTGTCCCCCGACAAGTTTGTCGTAAAAATCTACCATTTAAGGTGTTTCCTTTAAAGTTGGAGTGCATCTACCTGAAAGGCGAGAGAAAAACATGTTGCTTACAAATATAGCAGATATGTAAATTGGATGTGCATGCATGAGAATAATAAGAAAAAAAGAATGGAAATGAGTGAAGAGCAGTATGGATTTATGGAAAGTAAAGGGATACGAACACTGATAGAAAGATCAATGGACACACAAAAGGGCGGCTATCCTCAGAATAACGGCCAAAAACACACCCTGACAGGGCCTCAATCACATGTAAATTGTGGACTTCTTTCCGGTGAATATACCGAGGCAAAAGTATGATAAATTTAAGGCGATGAGGTTGCAAAAAGCAACAAATTGCCAAGTTCAACTCGCCACCGAGCGGTGCTAGACTAGATGGCTGGGACTCACGAGCAAATAAAATGAGGAAGCTGCATGATGCGGTAGCTGCTGCTCGTGAGTCCCAGCCATCTAGTTTAGCCGCCCTCCCCGTGCGCATAGCATACCAATGCGGCACAGATCATATTTAGCCGAGTTTCAATGGCGCCACAGCCACAAAGAACACATTTTCTGGCACTATTTGCAACTTCTGTGCCACTATTTTCAGATATAAAGACATCATTTATCGCTAAGTAGTCAGGGCACATGATGATGATGATGCACAATTCAAGTTCTGAAACAATACCAAAGCCCAGAAGTGGACGAACAGCTAGAACCTTCCCGTGGAGTGTACAGCCCATGAACGCACACACAAAGAAAGGTATCAAGTGAAGAAGCTAGAGAAGAATGACAACAGAGAACTAACCCTGATGGTCAGATTCCTGTAGCCCTGGGTGCGAGCTGAGTGTATCAGTTTCTTGATGCCCAGTCCTATCTCTGGGAACTCGCTAAAGGTCGGGGGTCGAAGTTCAGCTCTAGCATACCTCCATGTTGTGTTCAATCGTGGCACAACAGCGCTGGCAAGGCCTGGTAGAGAACAAGAAAATAAATGCTGAGCTGGTTTTGACATTTTATCTATGTCTGTGCTTAGTTGCTGCGAACGTACTTGCAATTCAAGGAACCCCATTTTATTCCAGCTGCGGGTGACTTAGCAGCAGACCGCTTTGCATCAATTTTAACAGTGTTATCGAAAGCCGGCCATTAAGGAAGCAATGGCAACTACCAAACTTAAAAATGTCTAGTGAAACCAAACTGCCAACAAAATCTGGGGTTCTGTAGCGTCCTCTAACCACCATTACTAGACCCCCACCCCTTCCCCCATTTTAGAACATAACATCAGCAGTCCTTAAAGCCTACTGGTCAGAATTTCCACTGTAACGGTATTTGTAGTGCAGGCAGCTTGCACATGGCTCACCCAAGTTACCACTATATTTCTAGGTCTGTCATCCACCAGCCAGGGATTTCTTCTTCTACATTCAACATCAGCTATGCTAAACATTCAGTCCTGAGTGACAAAACAGGTTGCTGTCGCTTCCCTAATAGTTTTTTTTTTTTTTTTGTAACGTGCTTCCACTGGGCCAAATCGACAACTTTGGCTAGGAGTAGTAAAGGCAATCCTGAAGCACGTGCTCAGCAGTCGGCGTATCAGGCAGCAGATTTTGTTTAACGCCTATACTGTGTGGATATGCTCTAAGACTGATTCTGTCCTGTCCAGAACTTAAAAACGCGTATGTTCTTTTCTGTTAAATTTTTTTATGCTGTAACTTTCTAGTCTGCCTCTTCCCCCCCCCCCTGAATGAATGCTGTAGAGCTGTGTTGGTTTGCACGTGGGATATCCAAGCCGCCACTATAATTCTAGGTCACACATCCACTAGCCAGAACACAGGGAAGAGAAAGCATGAATACAGGATCATGGGTTGTCAGTTTTTTTGCATCTGTCTAAGGTCACTATCTCTTGAGACATGTTCTCAATGAAAGCTGAAACAGTACATTTCAGGTAACAGGTGAACACTCAGCTCCAGGCCATTTCTCAGACTTCCATGAAGGTTTCCACCAGGAAGCAGGGAAGAGTTTGCACATTTGTGGAGTTACTCATTTCTTCTAAGCATTACATCAAGGGCTGTAGCCAAACTGGCAAACCTTTTTTTTAGGGATTTTCAGTGTGATCGTGTTTCAAGTGTTAGGTTGCATATAATAATTTTTTTTCATTCTCATGTAAACAGTACATTATTTATATTTTTTATTACCATTAATTAAAAATACTTCTGTTGCTCAGTCTTAGAGGTTTAGAGTAACAGTTAACGTTTTTAAGTTTTTAACAAGTTCATGATCCTTGTGAGCCATCCTCCTAATAACGGTCCTTAATTACCGAGGCGAAAAATATACCCTAAGGGCCTCAGTCAGGTGTCAATTGCTCACTTCCAGAGACTAACGCCACCGCCAAATTGCGAACTTCCGGCAACTTCCGCCCCAGCAGAGATTATCCCCCACACAGCTCATGCGGCGTGGGGCTAAACTAGAGCAAATAAATGAAGGAAGCTGCAGGAGATGCGGTAGCTGCTGCTCGTGAGTCACAGCCATCTAGTTAAGCCCCAATCCACGCCGTTCACGCTGTGTGGGGGATACTCCCGGTGGTGGCGGAAGTCGCCGGAAGCGCGCAATTTAAGACGACGGAAGTGCGCAATTGACAAGGTGACTGGGGCCCTGTTAGAGTATGTTTTCCGCCTTGATAATTTAGGACCGTTATTTGGAGGATAGCCTCCTTGTGGTCTATAATATTATTAATATTTCTACCTGCCAGGGTTTTTATTAAAAAGAAACTGATCTTAGTTCTTGCAGTTTTGGACAGTGGTATGAGAGTCACACCATGTAAGAGACTGGGACATCGCTACATTAATATTCCCAAAGACATGTGAAAATACGCTGTGGTCATCATTGACATTACAGAAACCGACCCCACCCCCCCCCCTCCCCGATTTGTTTATAAATAATTATGTGTCGTACGCTCATGAAGGAAATGTCTTCGGGCTGGAAGTCACATGCCCTATCAAACTACAACACTCATAATTTCAAACATCCTGGTTAGAAAATATGGACAGAAGTCTTCTGAGAAGACAAACATTAAAGACACCAGTCCTGGGTACAATCAGTCAACGAGCGACGCCCGAACATGGTCAGACAGGATTTTCACTTGGTGCAACCGTTGCACTGAATTAGAACACTTATAACGATACAGATACCAAGCATAGCATATTAACGTACACTGCGAAACCAAATCCGACACTATAGCAAGGTGAGAACATGTAAGAATAACTCACCGCTCGCCCTCGTGGAAAAATAAGTGATGACCTTCGCCATGTTTCACGAAACCAAGAGCAGACAATCCAGGCTGGGTGTAGCTAAATGTCCCGGGACTGGTTGCTAAATGGTGGCTATAATTCTTCTTCCGCTCAGCTGCTTGGTCAACAGCTAGCTGGTGTAATGGTAAAGTCGGGAGATGTAAACCAGCGTCATTACCCACGGTTATAAACCATAAGTGCACTGCCACCAGTACACACAGCTGATAAGAGACTGTGTCGCCGTCCGCACGTAACTCTGTAGCTACAGCGACGTTCTTCCATTTACCCCACAGTGTTACTCTGGTACCCATTTCCTAGAGGCTATTCCTGGGAACCGCCCGGTTTCGATCACCGACCATGGGCTGCAACGAGTCGCAGCTGGATTTGAAAGCGAGCCTCTTATCACTCACAGAAAGAAGTAGAAAGATAGAAGAACACACTAGACAACATAACAATTGAAAGCTGTAGTTACCTTGCCAGGAATCGTACCTGTCACTTCCAGACGACGGTGTTCGTAAATTGTTGCTGTGTTTGTTATTCTACCTATGCTTCGTCAACATAAATTTATGTAGCCTGTGGTGTCATTTCAGTGGTTTGAAATGAATTATGTCTGTATTCCAGAGTTGTGAATTTCAAGCGGTACGATAGACATGGCCAATAAGACATCTTATTGGGGGAAAGGGGGGGGGGGTGGTGCCTGGCTTACCATGTTCTATGACACTTGTTTCCATAGCGAGGTGTACATGCCGTCTGGAGGTGTCAGGTTCCATTCCCTGCACGGTAACTATAGCTTTCGATTTTTATGTTGTCTAGTGTGTTCTTCTATCGTTCTATGAGTGACCATCAATATATTTTCTGTTACTTTATTAATATTTACTATTTAACGGCCTCAAGGGTTCCCCCTCTGTTTGTTTATGTGGTCTACAGCTGGCATGGGCGACAATGCATGTCCGTTCGACATTTCAACTTGTCAAATACCAGAGTGTTGTAATAATAGCCTGGTGAAATCGTAGTTATTAATTTCAGCCCACTGCTCTCATATTCACTAAAGTGAATTCTATCAGTCAGGTGCAGTAGCCAGGAGTGCTGAATTCGCGCATGTAAGCCTAAATCTGTCTCACGGTCCTTAAAAAAAAAAGACAATAGGGGCGTTTGAGCTGAAATGCTATAGAAAGATTTTCAGAATATCTTGGGCGAAGAAGAGGACAAATACTGACATTTTGAAAGATCTTAACATCAAGGAAGATTGGCTAATAAACAGCATCATGTCTCGGAAGCTGAACTATTTTTGTCATATCAAGCGCCACGACGGACTGGAATAAATAATAGCAGAAGGCGTGGTACCAATGAGGGGCAGAGACTTACCAACACGAAGATGGGCACAGAATATAAGTGACTCCTTGAGTATGAAAGTACATGAGGCGGGAGAGCTGGCGAGTATGCCATGTATCCATTTTTTGCAAAAACACACCAAACAAACAAACGGCAACACTTGTAAAAAGACACGTACACAAATTACCCACAAAGCAAAAGCAGGCAAACACTACACTGAACACACACGATTTGGAGGGGAAAAAAAAAGGCCAAAACAGAAATGCTGAAAACAGAAATGCTCGGGAAAAAAAGCTAACGCACAAGTACATGCATGATGCGAAAAAATAAAAGCACCAAAAAGATGTTAAATTGGGGTCCCTGAAAAGGGTCTTGTGTTTGGACCCACTGGGTCACGGACTTATCGATTTCTAGGTGGTGTAAGAGGTGACGGCCCAGGCACAATCAGTGATCGCACGCAGGCAAGCAGCTTAAACCAGGAAGATAGCACCAAAATGCACTGATCGGAAAAAGACAGCAAACGCAATTAAAACCAAGCCCCCGAGGCAGGTTGAAGCCGTCCAAGTTTTTTCGTTTTTATTTTTCAAAGGCAAAATAGCTGGCGAGAGACCGAGTTTCTTTTAGGCAGACCGCGATGAGAGCGATGTTCTGCTAAGGACCTGCTACATGATGATGAAGTCTAAGCGTTAGCTGTAACGATTACAACGGAGAGTGTGTGTGTGTGTGTGTGTTGTCCACAAAGATGGTGATGACCACTCTTTGTCATCAAGTATGGGTATGAAAAAGTTCTTGGACAGTGAGGACAGGGAATGAGTGTTGTACAGGGAGGGGATCTCCTGCAGTCGCCTTTCTGTCCATCCTTTTCCTAATCTGCCTTGCTGTTCTGTTTGCTTCACATGTAGCCACGCCCTTGTGTAGAGCTGCACGCCATGCATTTCGGTCTTGAGAGGCAGCCTCCCAATTGGTGTCATTCATCCCAAATGCTTTGACTGAAGATTTCAAGGTGTCTTTAAAGCGTTTCTTTTGCCCGCCTTGGGAACGTTTCCCATTTTGCAGCTCACCATAAAAGAGTTATTTATTTTTGGAGCCTGTGATCTGGCATGCGTGCCATATGACCAGCCCAACGAATTTGATACTGCATCTGTAGAGTGTGGATGTTTGACATGGCTGCTTTCTCAAGGACTACAGTATCTGATCTGCATGAGTTTTCTAAGGCAGACTGTGTGAAAGTGGTTTAACTTTCTGGCCTGGCGCTGGTAAAAGTCCATGCTTCGCATGCGTACAGCAGTGTAGTTAATACATCTGCACTGTATACTTTAACTTTGTCTCTAGGGTTATACCACTTCTGTTCCACACAATTTTTTACAGTCTGCCAAAGGCAACGCTAACCCTAGAGATCCTTGCAATTACTTCGTAATCAATTGTGGCGCTCTGTGAAAGGGTGTTGCCTAGATAAGTAAATGTCTGACAACATTTAATATGTGGCCATTCACTGTGATATTGGGCTCGATGTATCTTTTCCATAGGGCTGGCTGGTGCATGGCTACAGTTTTATCTTTGTTGATGGTGAGCCCAACAGAGAGTATCATGTGATACTCGTGTATAGGCGGAAATGGTGAAGTGTAAAGCTCTCGCGTCCTAGTTTTGGATAAGGGTGCTCACCTTTTTGGAAGTCATCTTCTGTTTTGTAACACCGTTATATTGTAATAAAGATTTGATATGTGTGCTCTGTACGTGTTAAGGAAACTATATAAAATCGAACGAAAAGTATATCAGCGAGCTTCACAATATAACAAACACAACCAAAACGTGAACGTTGCGGCTATGGAGCCTTCTTCTGCACAAACATAGATTAAACAATACTACACATATACACAATATCACTTATCTTCGTATCTCGTGGCAGCCAGGTCGTTGTCAAGACAATAGTCGACGAGGCACATAGGGCCTAGAATAAAATATCCGTGATATGCCAGGGGCCGTCACTCGAGGATAAGATAAAACTGTGTAGGCAGTTCAGCCGCCTAGGATTTAGAGGAAGCTGTGTTGGCAGTTTGGTAACTGGGCGCCAGTTCCCAAAGTGTACGTGTTAAGCTTGGAGTGTTGCTTGATAGTGTGTCTATCACGGGCCTGTAAAACGATCCATAGATCATTAGGACAGATCCAAGGTCCTTGACAGTATTGTTATGAAAAATTAGTCTAAAAGAAATAATTATTGCGACAGTATTGTTTTGAAAAATTAGTCTAACTAAAAGAAATAGTTATTGCACATATCAGTTTCATACTGACTGTGCATACTGCTTGTTTGCTAATTATTAACTAACGGTATAATTATATGTTGTAGTAGTCTGCTAATAGTCATATTAATCCGCAATCATTTATATTCATTTTATGTATGATATGTGTATGTTGCACAGCAGTTGGAAGTCGAATGATCTATTTTAATGGGCTGAAATTGTTAAAATAAAAAATTTCACTCCATCCCCCATCTCCGAGTCCTCTGATGCAATATCCCCCCAGAATCAAAGATTTAACAGTACTTTTTTCTTTACTTTTGCTGGAATAACTTCAATTTATTGCTACACGTTATTGATATGTGTGTTTATGTTGACTTTAATAAATGCATTTATGTTTGTCTACAAAAACCATTACTGTTATATTTTTAATACCACTCTTATTTATCTTCAAAATGAAATATCATTCAATAAGATGCGTTGTAAATTAATAAAACTGTAGTTTAATCTGTGCATAAATATACTCGTTAAAACAGTGAAAACAGACCAGCCTAACGAACTTTCACAAAAACGGGAATTTCCGTTGACCTAGATGACCTGTAATGCTGGAGCAGGCCATGGCGAAAGGATGCAGTGACCGCCCCCACCTCCATTCTTAAGCTGGATGTGGTGGTATCACATGCTAGGCTCTCCTACACCAAACGTCCACCATAAGTTTTTGCTTAGAACCCTGAGGCACATCTTTTGCTTCTTGACACTGAACTGCGTTAAAAAAAAATTACATCACCCGAGGAAGCATTATCCTGAATTAATTGCTGAATATTCACCTCTGTGACATCTGCAGGTAACTTCCTGCAGTCCCGGCTCAATGTGATTATGACTCTACATAAGTCTGACTGTTCCGCTGGCACTCTGACCCACTACTCTCCTCGCCTAATGTTCTCCTGTCTGATCGTGTCTTTTGCCTGAGCCATCCATGACTTCGCTCTTATCAGCCACTGACCCTTAAATGCATCCAGCGCTTCGTGCAAAAGGTGATCTGTGTCTGCAGCTACTCTGATGTATGACTTCGCCTGCAGCACTTTAAGGCACTAGTCAGTGGGACATCATTAAAATGGATGAGTTAGTGTGTCCGTTGCTCTGCCTTACATAATTTATCTTTAGATGAAATATCACGTGGAATGAGACGACCTGGCCACAATGAGACGACCTGGCCACAATGAGACGACCTGGCCACAATGAGACGACCTGGCCACAATGAGATGACCTGGCCACAATGAGATGACCTGGCCACAATGAGATGACCTGGCCACAATGAGATGACCTGGCCACAATGAGATGACCTGGCCACAATGAGATGACCTGGCCACAATGAGATGACCTGGCCACAATGAGACGACCTGGCCACATGAAGCTGAGACAGGCAATAGAATACATGCACACATAAAAAGTA